AGAGGAAAAATTCGAGGAAAAATTCGGAATCTTTCGTTTTTCAAATTTTTGTAATTCCTGAGGAAAGTCACGGATAATTTTTCGTCTAAAAAGAATTGGGAAAAGGAAAGAAATAGAAATTGAGGAAAGGAAGGAAATAAAAATTGGACGATTGATAGGAAAAAATAAAATTCGATGGAAAAATACGGAATCTTATATTTTTCAAATTTTTACACTCACGAGGAAGGTTATGGATAATTTCTCGTCTGAAGAAAAATTAGGAAAAGGAAGGAAATAAAAATTGGCGACTGATATGGAAAAGGGAAAAAGGAATTCGATGGAAAAATATGGAATCTTACATTTTTCAAATTTTTGCACTCACTATGAAAATTCCGGATAATTTCTCCTCTAAAGAAAAATTGGGGAAGGGAAAGAAATGAAAATTGGGGAAAGGAAGGAAACAAAAATTGGACGATTGACACGAAAAAAGAAAATTCGATGGAAAAATACGGAATCTTATATTTTTCAAATTTTTGCACTCACGAGGAAGGTTATAGATAATTTCTCTTTTTAATTTTAGTGGAAAAATTGGGAAAAGGAGGGAAATAAAAATTGGGAAAAGAAAATAAGTAAAAATTGGACGATTGCTATGAAAAAAGGAAAAATTCAATAGAAAAATTCAGAATCCTACATTTTTCAAATTTTTGCAGTCACGAGGAAGGTTACGGATAATTTCCTATCTAAAGAAAAATTGAGAAAAGGAAAGAAATAAAAATTTAAAGAAGGAAGAAAATAAAAATTGCTTAAAGCAAGGAAATATTACACTTAAGTCGATTTACATCGACGCAACGACGCAAATTCCATCTCGTTACCGTAAATCGTATCACCTACGTTGAGGAACGAGACGAAGCGTAGTAATTCCGACGTGGATTTGGTGTTTGGGGCCCAGAGAGACTCTTAGGGGAGCCGCTTACGCGCGTCGGTCTCTCCATTGTGGAGCAACGCCACGCAAATAACGGGCTTTCGTGCTACAGAGTTTCACTTTTAAGCGACAGGTATACTATTGTGAGGTTAAAAACCTGCGGCCAGGTGACAGTAAAAATCTTTTCAGGCTTCTCTCTGTCGAGGAGTGGCCGTCCGGGAACGATATACACATCAACCCGGAGCGATAAGCTATTGGAATTCGTTTAGAGGGCCGAACCCTCGACTGGGGCCCCGAGCAGGCGTCGGATCCACCATGGATCTACAGAAAAACGTATTTCGCTTTCCTTTCGAATCTTCCTTTTGTCCACGGACCTCTCGTTCTCTGTTTTTACAGAGCTTTACCTGTTGGCTTTGCTTTTTAACAGCCTTGCCGAATTTTAGGGCTCTGGCAACTTTGCTCCATTATATTCCCGAGTTATTGATCTTTCGATCTATCGGTAACCATTTTCAATTAATATAGAGTAAGAAAGTGTCGAGATAACTCAAAAATTGACAACGAGATTCGTCGATAAATTAATTAATATGTGAAATACATACGAGTATGCAGGTACTCTAAAATTTGGTTGAATATTATATTAATTAACAGTCGATTAATAGATAATCGGAGAATTCTTAAAGTAAAATAACTACAATGGGAGTGTCTCCAAGAGGAATAATAATCGAAGATGCAAGAATTCCTCGACAAGCTAACCAATATATTAAACCCACACGATTCTTCACACACACACGCTAAAATTTTGTCCGATATCGTAATATCGTTTTTAATTATTATAATTTTATTAATAAATTGACAATTGGTCAATGAATAAAATATTCGTGAAATAAAATAACCTCGAGAAACCTCCAGGAAGAATACAAAATCGAAGAAGGAAAATTCTAACGAGGAAATTCCTTGACAAGTTAACTAATATATTAAACCCATAATATTCTTTACATACACATACTAAAATTTTCTCCAATATTTTATTATCATTTTTAACTATTATTAAATTAATCGACGATTGATAAACCCATACAAAGTTTATTTAATATAAAGTCAGTAAAGGAAGATTCTAACAACGAGATTCCTCGTTAAATTATTATATTAAATCCATAATATTATTCACACACACACTAAAATTTTCTCCAATATTTTATTATCATTTTTAACCATTATTGAATTAATCGACGATCGATAAACCCATACAAAATTTATTTAATATAAAGTCGAAGAAGGGAGACTCTAACAACGAAATTCTTTTACAAACTAACTAATATATTAAATCCATAATATTATTCACACACATACTAAAATTTTCTCCAATATTCCAATATTTTTAACTATTATCGAATTAATCGACGATAGATAAACCCATACAAAATTTATTTAATAAAATAACTGCAACGAGAGTGTCCCCAATAAGTGAAGAGATTTCTCGACAGATGAGCCGTCGATACGTCAAAGCCATTCTTCCCACACACTCCAAACCCATTCCCAGAACTCCGAAAATCCTCTGTGAAAGTTATTCATCTATGACGCACGTTTTCTCGCGTCAAGCCGCGAAGCTTCTCCCATAAGACAAACAGTACGACTATCAGGGGTCAACGAATCCTCCAACGTTTTTCTCGTTCGAAAATCGATCCTTCGTCATCCCACGATCGACAAAGATCCTCAAAGATCCGCAAACGATCGCGAATTAATCGTTCTTAACTTAACTTAATTAACCTAAACGAGAAAAGAAGAAACGGCGAAGAAAGGACAACCTCTCCGCGTCTATCCGGGATTTTTACTCGAGATCGACAGTCGATCCTGGATCTTTGGGTGCACGCCAGCCTCGTCCATCACCGGACGCCGTGGCGTCTCAGGGTCGTTCCAGAAGTTCCACGCTGGAACAACGCAACCGGCAATAATCTCGTCGGTCCGCCATTCTCGTTATTTCACGCAACGGGTGGTACCGACGAAACGGCAGGGGCGGGAGAGAGGCCAGAAAGAAAGAGAAAGGGAGGAAGGTCAACCGATGACCCACGCGAGAAGGAACCCGCACCCATGGTCGTGCCATTGCATTCCGTGAATTGTCGAAATCGAAGGGGGCGTGGACGCGACCGCTCCATCGGCGGTCGTTAATCACCTGCACCCCTCGCTGCAGCCGTGTAAAAATCCTCGAAATCCCACACGTGTCTCGGTATTTATACTTATCCGAATCTACCGAGCATTAATAAGCATTTCTCGCGTTCCTCTCGGAAATCGAGAGGATTTCCATTCCTATGGGGTGAGTTTCGGGATTATTACCAGGGTTGCGGAAATTTTGACACCTTCGATTCTCGATATCTTTCAATAGCAGAAAGCAGTGGAATTTTTGCCGAATTTTTAGGAAATAAGAGTGTTTTCTATTAAGATATTGACTGCCATGGTGGTCACCAATGACCGGCGCTTGTCTCCTCACCATGAAGCCATGGTGGTCACCAATGTTCGACGATACTAATTTCTTAAATTTATATTTGTTTCAGTCTAACCAATTTTTGAATATTTGAGGAACTCTTTCTTTTGCTATATTGTTTGATAATTCATCCTTATATTCTAGGAATAATGGAAATTTTATCGTGGCCCTCTTGCATGGCAGTCAAGGTGTTAAGCCTGATACGTTGATCATAGTCGATGGGGGGTTGGAAGAAAAATTGCAGCAATATTCGCAATAGCGAGAATATTCAAGATGAATGTCAATACGAATGACGAATAATTCTTGATCCAGTTCTTGGAATATACGCGAGATTTTTGGGGTGCTTTCTATGAGTATGCAGTGTACACGAGTGAATAAAACGTGTCTAGACTACTGTAGTAAGAGTAAGACAGTGACACAGAAGAGCAGTCACAGTGCATTTGTCAGTGATACTTTTAATTTCGCTGTTCTCTGTCAATCTATATTCCCCGCATATCTGACAGAGAAACAAGTTTCTCCATTTTGGTAGTATTATCTTATACAGAGACCCGCTCGCCCTCGTTAAATGAGAGTTACGTTTGGCACTCTGTTGAGTGAATTTCGTAACCATGACAGGATACAGAAAGGGATTCGAATTTTTGTTAATCCTCATACGAATGAGAGATTAGAAGAATGAAATCGGTCAACTATTTGACTGCCACGTTGGTCATATACGATCGGTTACGATTTCTCCTGTGATACCACGGTGGTTATTGGTAACCAGAACGCTTGAACTACATGCAGTCATGAAAATTGAATAAAAATTGACAGGTAATGAATTGTCAACCGTTATACCAAGGCGTCACGGTGGTCATTGGTGATCAGGGACGCTTGAACTACTTACAATTCTAAAAATTGAACGAAAATTGACAGTTTGTTGACTGTCAACTATTACCAAGGCGCAACCCGTGGTCACCCGTGATTGCCAATAAGATAAACGCTCCATTAGATAAGAATCTTGCCTGGTATCACCAATTTATCGTTATTTTCCCATTATATGCTTCGAATAATAAAAATCCTCCCGAGCGAAACACGAAACGCTATTTCGGCGTGACAGAGTAGTCAAATGGCCAATAAAAACGCTGAAAATATAAAAATGGAGGTGAACTAACCGGGGATAGAGCCTCCTGCATGTGCAGGGGTGCGTTGTCGGCCTCGTCGGTGCAAGTCGACATTCTCCCGCGCAGTCTTCCGCTTCTCTTTCCAGTTCGTCTAATCGTGGCCGTGTTTGGCTGCACGGGCTTCCTGTCCCGCGACGCTCGGTCCTCCTCCAAAGTCTGGCCTCTCTGCTCCGATCCTCTCTAGCGGTCGACTAAAATCGTCTACTACGTCTACGCGAACGAACGGGTTCTAGGCATGGGGGTTGCGTATCACAGTCTGCTGCTGAGCGTTGTATGGCACGTGATTGAACGGAAGAAGAGGAGCAGGCAGTGAGGACCTGCGAAGCAAAACGGAACAAAAGAGAGAAATACAAGAAGGCCTCGGCCTTGTCCAAACAGAGAGAATGATCGAGCGGCGGATCGGACGGGCGGGTTCGACGAAGACGGAACGGAAGACGGGCAACGACGAGGACGCGAACGGCGTTGGAATACCCGTCGTTCTGTCGCGTTTCGATTATGCAACGTGCAATCAGTGGGACCAGCTGGTTCGCCTCTCCTCCATTCATTTCAACCGGCTACGAGCACGTCAAACTGGAAACGGTTTCGCGGTCGCGGCTCTGATAGACAGGTGTAATAAACCGGCGTCGAAGACAGACAGTGAGACAGACAGGCAGGCAGGAAGGCAGGAAGGCAGGTAGGCGAGAGTGAAAAGCTCCCGTCTGGTCTGGGATACTGGAACACGTTCCTTTCGGTAAAAGAGTCGGCGTTCCCTAAACGCCGACCGCGAAGAGAAGCCAAACTGGCGGTCTGTCAGCCGCAAAGAACGCGAAGGAAGCAAGCGGTCGAACCGGCCGCGCGATATCCAGCAGAAGCAGAAGAAGAAGAAGAAGAGGAAGAAGAAGAAGAAGTGGAAGAAGAAGAAGAAGAAGAAGTGGATGGAACAGGAAGCTGGAGCGGCATTTTTGCCCTGGCAAGTCAGGTTGTGACGTCCAGGCGGAAGAACGAGATCGGTCGGAATCAGGAAGGCCATCGGGGAGGGCGGCTTGGCGCTGCGGCCACGCGGATCCACGCGAGCGGCGCGGACGAAGGAGAGAGAGCCGGGTTCGAGCCAGAATAGCAGGTTCGATGGCTGTTGATTCAGTTATCACGTGCGGCCGGTCGGCCAGGGAATCCGTGGACGTTGGCCAAACCAGTCGGACACCACGAATTCCACGTCTTCGGGCCCTTGCGTCGCGTCGCGTCCACCAGGTGGATAGTCGGTAAAACCAGTTGGTTCCCTCTTCTCCCGGCTCGTTCATCTCCTCCTACTACCGCGTGTCTGCCAGCAACCGGCAAAGGAAGGAGGGCAGTCGCGTAAAACTGGAATTCAACCCGCGACCGCCTGGCTGACGGATAGACAGGTGTAATAATAGACGTAACGAGGAAGCCGGACCAGCGTCGTCGGCCAGAGAGAAGTATATCGGCTCGGGTCGGCGCGGCAAGGCTCCGGGATCGTCGGTTCCTCGCCAGCCGACCGATTTCTTCGTTTTCGCTAGCCGGTCGGGGGAGAAGAACACACCACCACCGTGGGGGCTGAAGAGGATCGCGAAGAAGAGGAAGAGGAACGCGATGAACCGGCTGCGAGCGTGGAAGAGAGAGACGAGGAACAGGGTGGCGGGAAGTAGGTAGGTTGGTGCCTACCTACTACGCGGAAGAAGGAGATTGGGGCGACTGGGGAGAAGGAGTAGGTACACGAAGCCGGTATACAACCGCGGACCGGAGACGAGAAGCCAGAGGAGCAGGTTCGGCCGGTCTAACCTGATTCTCAAAGGGAACCCTGCATCAGATTGGACCCACCTCCGTGGGTCCGTTTGTATTTCAAGTACCTGTACTCCCTCGCTTCGCGTCAGTGGACGATGCCTTCGGAGACGGAGGACTCGACGAGCCTTTGCGAAGAGGAACGAGCTCCTCCGCGGAGCGAGGTGATCGAATGAAACCGTGTGGAAACCGTGTGTCCCGAACCCCCGGGTACACCGGGCTCCGACGCGCGTTCATCGCGGTGTCTGTCGTGTGTCTTTCGGATCCGATCGATAAATCGATTATCATCGGTAAATCGGGGCCAAGGTCGGCGCCAGCAACGGTGGACGCCTTCCGGAGTGATCCGATTCAGTGGTTCGACGCAGTGAACATGGACGTACGCGAGAGCGAGCGAAAGGGTGGCACGCGGGGGTGCCTCTGGTTGGATTCTCGAGCGTATCGATGGACGCGCGGTGAACCCAACGGGGATAAGAGCCGGCGTGGTTGTTCGACCGTTGGTTCGACGAGGGGGCCTTCGAAAACGAGATGTTTGCTCGTCTCTGCCGCGTACCTGGCGCGAAGTCAACGACGCTCCTCCTTTTACTACCTGCGGACGTTCCAAGTTTATGGAGGTGTGCTGTCTCCTCTCCGTGCAGTGTTTCGGGAGTGAGAATTAGTGGCGAGTTTGGTGGGTCGTGGGAACGGTCGGAGAACGAGCCACTGCTCCGTCTACGTGGGCAAACCGATTAACACGTGTATCCCGACGACGTCCGGCCGACACGGTGGAACGGAGCGAGACGCGTAGATACACGGGTAGAGCATAGAGGGGAGATAGAGAGACGCGGAGGCAGCGTGGTACCGCTGGACGACGATGTCGACGACGGTGGACCGTTCGAGAATGTTCTCGAAATGGCTGGCCACGGCACGTCTACGCGGCGTTATATAAAGCCAAAGGGGAACGCGTTGCATGTACGCCGGACTACGCGCGATTCCATTAGCAGCGACCATTAACCGGGGCCAATTATATTCGCGAGTCTTCCATTCACTCGGCTGGCCAGAACGCGTATGCTGATCGCGTCTCGTTCGTTCCGCGGCCGCACGCAATCCGCTCCGACCGCGAGAGACCGTTCTTACCGGTCGGTCGAACGCGCGCGCCGCGCCGATTTACGTAATCCCGCTAAACTCTAGCCTAGATACGCGCACCGCGCCGCGTGATCCGATCGGTCATGGAAAGCACGTTCGAGAGCACGGAAAATCGGAGGAAAATGGGGGAAAAATGGGTGGAGAGAAAGTGGAAGAGACGAGAAAGTGGAACGAGGGAAGCGGAAAGGGAGGTGCAGGAAGAGGAGGAGGAGGAGGAGGAGGAGGAGGAGGAAGGTAGGGAGAACGGGTGGAGAATGGAACGGGAAGACGAAACGGACGCGAAAAAGTAGACGGCGAACCGGATGATCCCACTTGCCTCTCGGCATCATCGGCTTGTTTACCGGCGGCCCACCTGCGCGTCACCTGTGCGTCATCGCGCAGGTAGCCGGTGAACATCCGCGGGGAAGAGGTCGACGGGAAGACGCGGTTAGCGATGAACGCGCATCGACGGATCGCGAGCTTCTTCCAGCTAGACGAGATACTCACTTTGCCTGTGCGTGCGTGTGCGGGGCTCGCGTACTGAGAGAAACGTACGAGGGATATTGCCGGGTGTATCTCGGTCGATCGGAAGGAAGGAAGCCTCTCGTTGCATTCGAGGGAGAGAGAGCGGCGAGATACGTTTCTTCGAGATGGATCGACGTGGATGATCTCGGCGGTGCCGGTGGCTGAAAACGATGGACGCGAGTGCGCGCGTGTATAGACGCGTGTACGCGTACGTGGAGAGCAGTAGAGAAGAAGGTGGTACGAGAATGGTAGGTGGTAGGTCGAGGGGTGCCGGTGGGGTGGGGTGGCGAGGGGGGAGGGGGCCAACTACAAACTACTAAGCGTCCCTCCTGTGTTCCGGATCACATCTCCACGGATGATAGTGTCACCACCTTCGCGATGGATCCGTCTGCGTCTACGAGTTCGAGGCGTTCTCTTGGCCGAAGGGCACCCTGTGCCGCGGGTGGCCCTCGTTCCTCTATACCTCGCGGCGACACACGCACGGCTCCACGACGCACCGCGATCCTCTCCGATCCTCTCCGATCCTCTCCTTTCTTTCCGTCCTATTCCCGTAGTCCTAGAGAGGAGATACAACGACGCGGCAACGGATTCCTGTCCACACGGATCGCGCGCGATCGACGTTTCCTCTCCGAACTGTGGACGCGCACAGGCGAGCAAAATGGATAGAGCAAAGACGTGGAGGTGTGTGGGATCGAGACAAAGAAGCACCGTGGAACTCACAAAATTCACTCCGCGCACCTCATTATCCTCGTTTCTGGTCCATTCCGCGTCGCGTTCCGCTTAGCCAGTCACCAAGCGCTATCGTTCCTTTCGCGCACACCCCTCTTCGACGAGTCACGAGGATCCGGACCGGGAACGGTTTTTCCAAACCGGATCGTCTGTCCACGATTCACACTTGTACACCGGCTTCAGGCACACGCGCACGCTCGCGCAGACCGCGGCTTTAACAACCACGACGACGACGACGCCGACCACGACCACGACCACGACCACGACCACGACGACGCTGACGATGACGATGAGGAGGGTGAGGATGACGATGACCACAACAATAACAACGGCGACGAGGATGACGACGACGGCGACCACGACCACGACGACGACGACAACGACGACAACGACCACGACCACGACCACGACCACGACCACGACGGTGACGATAACGGCGACGACGATACGGAACGCGACGACGACGACGACGACGACGACGACGTGGTGGACGTGGTGAACGACGACGTGTACGGGCAGCACGACGACATCGTCGCCGAGGATCGCGAACGCGAGCGTACTATACTCCGCGCGACAGATCGACCGACGTCGTGTCGAAGCCGCGCGAGACTCGAGCTCTCGTTTTGCTCTGCGTGGAACGTGTGGCGAGCGAACTCGAGGGTGGAACGGATGCACTACACCCCGAACTGTGCGGCCCAACAGGTAGAATTAAACCACCCAAAGTTTGGGCAGCCGCTGCAAGCAACAAACGAAGCAGCCTCACGGTGCTCTCTCGGATCGTTCTCTCTTCTCTCGGGATACGGCAACATGGCCGCCGTCGCCGCCGCCTCCCAGCATCCCGCTCTTGGCTCCGTGTCTCGCACCCCCCTCTCTTCTCTCCTCCACACACACGCTCCACTCCACGAGTGCCTCTCCTCTCTATCCTACCACCGGCCGTTTCCCTCACACGCGTTCCTCCTCTCTCTCGCTCTCTCTCTCCGCCGTTCTTTCTCCACCACCGTGTCAGCCTCCCTCGCTCCCGAATCTCCTCTCTGCGTCTCTCTTCGTCCTCTTACCTGGCCACCCTACGACGCCTCCCCATTTGGGCTCTTTCTCCTTTCATCCACCTTCCTTCTCCGACGCCCTACCTGCCTCTCTCTCTCTGTCTCTCCGACCACGCAGACCTCCTGCTCCCTCTCGTCGCCTACCTGTAGCGCCTTCTCTCCGCCGTACTCCCACTCCTCTCGGAGAGAATCCGAGCGATAGGTACCACCGGTGAGGTAAGGAGTGGTGGCCAGGAGAGGGCCTCCGGCTTCACCGATCGTTCCCTGTCTTCTTCTTCCGCTCTTATCCTCGCGTTCTTCTCTCTTTCGCACGCGTGCGCGCGCGCGCGCGCGTTTCTCTCCTCCGATGCCTAGGCTCTCTCGGCGAGAGAGCCCAGGTGAGAGACGAGGCGAGCGAAAGAAGGACGCGAGCGGCGAAAGGGAAGAGAGAGAGGAGGAGGGATCGGGAGACAGGATAGCCGGCGCGCAGGTAGCCAACGCTAGACGAGGAGAGAACGATGCCGGAGGATCGGTGACGAGACAGAGACAGGTAGAACGTCTCTACGGCGACCTGCACGGATACAAACAGAGCATCGAGTCATCGACGAGGCAGCCAGGCAGCCGGGGCTCTTGGCCACCCGGCATTATCGTGTCTCCAGGTTCGTCTCTGTCTCTCCCGCCCGTTACACCGTCTTCCCACCTTCTCTCACCTGCTACCTTGACAAGGATACCTGGTCATCCACCGCGCTGGATGGACGAAGACGCGGGAACCTATACACTCGCGCGTTATCGTCCGTTCGCGTCTTCGTCGCTCGTAACGCAGCCACGTAGCCTTTCTCCTTGTCCGTCTCGCTACCTTGAGAAGGATATCCCCGGGAGTTGGCCGGCCAGCAGGGAGGAGAAGAAGAAGGAGGACACTGCGTACGTAGATTATCGTAATTCTCCTCTCCCCGCGTCGCCGGCGACGTCGCGGTCTCCACGACTCGTTGGCTCTCGTTCGATCCCCGAAGCGTTTCACCTCCGCGTATTCCCACCTTGAGAAGGATGTCCAGATATCCGCGAGATACCCGTCGACATCCTATGAGGACTTAAGGTCGAACGGCCAAGGTGAACGCTACGCGTATACGCGGTAGTGGGTCCACGCGCCTCGCTTTTCGGCTATCTGTCTCGCTTTCCATTCCATTCGACCCGACCGATTCCACCAGGGTCTACCACTCGACTTTCACCCGGTCTCCCCTTTGTTCTCCCCTATGTCCGATCTAGAATCATGGCGGCCACCGTGGGCCATACGGGCGTCCTCTTATCGAGCTTTTTATCGGGGACTCGGAACGACGAAGACGACGACGAAGGAGCCGAAGAGGAAGAAGACGAAGACGAAGAGGAAGGAGAAAGAGAAGAAGTAGAGGTGGAGATTCCACCTCTGCGGACGTTCTATGAGGCTCAGGACGTTCGACGGCTGGGAAAAAACGACACCCTCCGGAGGAAGAAGAGGACGAAGAAGAGAAAGAAGAGGAAGAAGAAGAGGAGGAAGAAGAAGATGGACGCGAAGTGGAAGAGGCGATGGACGAAAGGAGGGAGGGGAGGAGGAAATGGAAAAGAAACGAGACGAGATGGAGGCAGCGGTCCGTGCACCGATATAGCCACGGACACACGTGCGTGCTATTGATTCCCCGTTGCGAACGCTCTCGCCCGCTCGCTCGCGCGCGCGGACTCGAGAGTATATAGACGCAGACAGCGAAGAAGAACGAAGCTGCCGTAGCTGGCTTCTGCTGGTGCCGCCGGCGGCCGGCTACACGAGCGGAGATGGACTCCGGATCGAAAGAGCGAGAAGTTCGGGATGCCGTGCGAGGGGGAGGCGGCCAGTCGGCCAGTCAGCCGGCTGGACAAGGAGGAGGCAGAGGCGGCGGCGCTGGCGGAGGAGAGGAAGAAAAGGCCGAGAGGAGAGGAGAGAGTGCGTGGCGAGCCCTCTCCGATAGAAGAAACGAGAGGCAGAGGAGAAAATGAGCGACCAGGACGAAGAAATCTCTTCTCTCTCCGACCGCGCGTCGCGGCCTCTCCCTCTTTCACCGGCCTCTCCTCCCTGTTTGGTCCTCGTAGGCCGCGCGCACCGAGGGAGAGATTAAAAGGAGAAAAAGGAGGAGATGGAATTAAAAGGAGGAAAAAAAGGTGGAGGAAGGAGAGAGAGAGAGAGCCGGTGGCGAAGCGAGAGGGAGGCTGGTGAAAAATGGACAGCCAGCGAGAGAAGACAGCCTCGGGCTACGTCGCGCGCTGCGACCCTGCTCAGGGAGGGATCTCGCTTCGTTCTTTAAAAGATGTATAAAGTTGCGCGCCGAGCGCGCCGGCCTCGCGAGCGGAAATTATTCCTCGCGCGGCGCCGCGTCCTAGCGCGTTACAGCGCGTTGCAGCGCGTCGCAGCGCGTCGCCGAATGTTCGCCGGCGATGTTTAGCAGCGAGTAATTAGGGGATCGGCGTGCTCGTGACAGCGCGGCCGTCGGTGGACGCGCGGCCGGATCATTTGAATACGCACGCCTTCCCGTGAGAATCGTCGCCGGTCGTTACGCGTGCACGTTACCGCGTGGGTGGCTGCACGCAACCGCGTGGGCGGATCGACTTCGCGAAGGAGAGGGAGCAACGACGACATTTTCGTCGGGTAGAGGGGACAGCCGGGTTGACAGCGGTCCCCGACGACGCGACCTCGAGTTTTTCTTCACCTTCGTCGACATCTAAGCTGGAGCTCTCTGCGAACGTCGAGGAAACTCGGGGTTTCGTGACTTCGTGATTAGAGACATCGGGGGTGACTTGCACGGCCCCTCCCCGCATCCGCGAAAAGCGAAGAAAATTTAGGGATACTCGGAACCGAAATGTTCTCGAGGTTGGCACACGATGTAGGTCACCGAATTCTTCGCGTGACTCGAAAGATTCGAAAAAGGCAAGGTGACCTGGAAACGTCATTCGAGTTAACGAGTTTACTTAAATATGCCTCGAGTAATGCGCGCCGCAACGTCGTCTTAAGCGCGATGAAGTCGAATTAGCCGCGCGGAATCATTTTACGCCAGTCTGCTGCCAGGTTTCCACGATTCATCGCGCGGAACGGTAAAGTTCCTGTTTAATTCGCGCGATTACCATCGAGGGAAACGCAGCCTTCGCGGTGGTAAAATTCGAACGGCGGGGATTAGTTTTATTTCGATGATGGGAGCTCGAGGAGATATACATCAGACGGTGGTTTTATCGGAAATGTTCCCAGCCGACTCTGTCGTAGGTCGTGTCGGCCGTAATTGCGCGCATCCTTCTGGCCGCTCGGCGACAAGTTATTATCGGTAAAATACGCGTCCTCCGCGACAGCGAGGCCATTTGTCATCGGCCACGAAAATCCCTCTCTGCCGTCGTTATTCGC